ATAAAATTAATTAAGCAAAAAAATTTTATAAGCAAAATTTTTCAAAATTTATACATATAATTAATTCAAAGTTTTTCTAACAATTTTTGAATCAAAAATATCGATAAGTTTTGGTATTGTTTCATCGCAATTTGTATTAAATACATGAATATCATCTATCAAATTTTTTGATATTTGGTTTAAATTAACCATAAATTCATCTACATCACTACAATTATTATCATCATACAAAGTATTATTTTCAATATTATTTGATTTTTCAGAAACTTGAGTTTTTTTTTTGAGTTTTAATTTATAAATCATGAAACTTGTGCTATTTTTGCAGCCTGGAGTAGTGACATTCTATTACAACATTCAGTATATATATTATCTAATAAGGATCAAACCTATTTAGAGGTTACAGAATTAGACAGAAATAACAAAAGACGATAAGCAAATTTACTTAAATTTAGAGCTACATGATGCATAGTATGCCAATATTGTAATGGTAATCTTGTAAAGATTAGATTTTTAATTGATAATGCAGCAAATAGACCTTCTTGATTTAAATAAGTTAATCATTCATCAATAAATTTATTCTAATTATAATCAGAATAAAAAGTACAAAACAAGCCATATGCAGTTTCCTGAATATATAAGTGCCAAGCTGAATTTAATCCTTCTTCATAGTGATACAGATGAAAAAACCAGGTAATTAAATAGATTAGGTTAAATATTTTTTCTCAATAACTATCAATTTCTATAATTAAAAAATCTTAAAAATTTTTATTTTTAACAATAAGCAAACCATTGTTAATAGTTTCACAAAGCCATGCCTATGATGCAGCAACTTGACCTAGTGTAGCATTTTCAGTTTCTGAATTTTTATGATATAATCATATGGATTTAATAATTCATAAAATAATTCTAGTTTGGTCCAGAATTCATTATCATTAATAGTATCAATTATGATATTATTTTTTGTAAACATAAAATTAGATATAATGAATATATAAGTGTTATAACCTAAATATTAGATAAAAATATAAATAATATAATAAATATATATAGTATAAATATGCAATAAATAGTATAAATTACCTTTAAACTTGTTTGAATTTTTAATATTATTCTATATATATTTGTAAATGTTGCCCAATGTGTAATATACAAATATTATGGTTTTAAAGTTGTATTACCAACCAGTTCTCTAAACTTGGACAACACAAGATTAGAATTTCGAAATGATTAATAATAATGATTAACATTTTCTTAATAACTGGTTTAAAAAATGCCAATTCAACTACTTTTTTAACTAATAAATTAGTTTGATTTGCATACACAAAATTGTTAAAACTTTACAATCAATTTTATGATCCTAATATATAGTATATAAATAAAATTAATTTTTTATATATAACTTTTTTAATCATAATTTACTTTTAAAATTTACTTCATGTATAAAGTGTTGTGCCTTTTGAAAGCAAATACACTATCTGAAATAAATACAATTCATTTATTTTCAAGACTTTTTCCAATTTCTTTATATATTACAAATATATTATTACCTATATAATATTGATTAGAATAATTGTCAATTTTCAAAATTTGACTTTCATGCTTTTTATTTGTTACAATAAAATTAAGCATACTATTTTTTGATATATTAGTCACTTGTCACCAAAAAGTGTTAAAAACTTTGAATTAGTTATAAATTGTTAACACCATATTGTACATTATCAAAAATGTCTGTACTAATTCATTTGCAGGATGAAAATTAA